GAGACCGCATTACTACTGTCATATATGAACGTCCATAGCTGCGCTGCCGTTAGCGCAGGCGGCCAGCACTGTCTCGCAGGCTCGAGGAAAACCCGTGGGCCGCTTTGGAGAAGGGTCAATGCCAATGCAGCAAGCCGTGTTTAGCGAGTAGAGCTTGATACTTGACTTAGGCGCTGGATCAGTGCAGCAGTGTTCATGTGGCAAATTTCTTTAACGCAATGTGGGTGTGTTGTGGGCGTTTCCTAGGAGGTGCCCAGTGAAGGAACTGAAAAAGGTTTGGACGTTTTACTTTTTATAACACAAATTCGACAGGGATAATGTTCGCAGTAGCAAAGTAGAGTCAGAAAAGGCGAATGGCCTAAATCTCCGAAGGGAGTAAATGTAACCAGGTATCTGTTGGATGAGAAGAAAGTCGCATGACAAAAGTCGGAATGAATAAAATTCGATAATAATTAAAAGCCCGAGCGATTAAAACCTGAGGGGGAACGATTTGGACTGGCAAGAACAAAAAGGCGATAGGGACCGAAATAAAAATGGGAAAAGACAAACTATTAAAAGTCAGAAAGGACAGGAGCCTGCAGGGAGAAAATGAAAATGAGAACAAATCAAAAACAAAGTCAAGAGTAATCTGCGTATGTGTGAACCTTGCTGTAAACACGATATGAATTTGCAGTTAAGACCACACTACATTACAAATAATATGGTCCGAAACGTTGTTTCCTACTCAACATATGATACGCCCATATAATATAAAAATACAAGCGCACAATTTTATCAGATGGTATTGGCAACCCCCAACAGATGATCAACGAAGTGGCCGCACACGCTCTGAGTGAAAGCTTTCGACGCTCACCACTGTGATGGCTTTGCTAGCGCACAGGTTCTCTTTATCCCGTGGCTATTATTACTGCAGTTCTTCACCGTATTTTCCATTTGCACCAAAGTCCACTGCCCATGTTCCTATCAGATCGAGTCGCCATCATTGAAGCGGCCGATGTCCGTCATCGCCACCACTCATCGCCATCGCCATCGCCATCGCCATCGCCATCGCCATCAGCGCGCTCGGGGCGGGACAATGGCGCTGTTTTACGAGAGAAGCGGCCCAACCGTACCCACTGTCCGCACAACCCACCGCTGAGATCGTGCAAAGTACCGAATCGAGTTTGTCGCCTGTCCGGCCGTGGACGATAGAGCTGTCCTACGAAAGGAACGGCCCAGCCGTACGGCCACCTCGATCCCGCTGTCCGTAGAAACCTCTGTTGAGATCGTGCAAGGCTCGGAAACCAAGCTCGTCGCCGGTCCGGGCCGCGCCGCCTCGATGCTCCGCCGCCGCCTCCGCCGCCACTCTGGCTCACCTTCCGATCCGGCTTCGCGCTGACGCCCGCCGCCGCCGGGGCCGCCGCACGGTCTGGCTGGTCGCGTCGCGTCGCTGACGACGGCCAGCACTCCCCGGCCGTGCGCCGACGAGGGGGGGGGGGGCACCTGTGGCCGGCGACCGTGCCCACGCGGAGGAGAGTGCGGCGTGGATGGAGTGGCAGCCCCGCGGCAGCCGGGCGGCGCTGGGCGCGATGCTCGCGGGCCAGCGTCCGTGAGCAGAAACACTATAATGCGAGATAGTAAATAGTTCTCCCTCAGGCTGTTTTACATCGAGTGACCCAGGGATTGTCTTCATTAAAACGAGAATAAATGATTTTGTTTCGATGAATATGCGTGAAGTAGGTCTTAACAAGCCCCTTTTTGACAACTTAAATTCCCCGGCAAAGAAATATGTGAGCAAACAAGCAGGTCTATATAGGGCAGTTTCAGCTGCACACTGGATCAAGACATAGCTGGTTTGCCAACGGAAGAAAAAATACAAACATACATGCCCAATATTTCGAGATCATTATGCAAATCACGACATTACAGATGTTTGCAGGTTGTGCAATCCAGAGAAGTGTGAATAATGATGATCAGCAATGTACTGCTCTGAACAGACCCGAGATGCCATTCTTGAACAGGCCACTCCCTCGACTCAGTTTCCGAATGTGATAATGAACCCGGATACATGACTGATCAAACGCTATGCTTTCCGGGCTTTTCCATGTGCTATTCCGAGAAGGGGCATGCAGTTTATCCACCTTTCTCATGGAAAGAGGCTACATGTCTTTCTTTTTAAATCACACGGAAAACCCCAAACATGACGTCTTAACGTTACAGGGTCCAGGTTCAAGTATGACTTTTAAGACGTCACATAAGTGATAATTTCCTAATCTCAGTACGGTTAAGTCTGCTCGACCAAGTGAGAGGACCAGGATATTGAAAGTGTAACGAGTGTCTGCCATGCGACATGTGTCTGTCTGCCATGTGTGTCATGTGTCATGTCATGACATGTGCCATGTCTGCCACGTCATGACATGTAGGGGCTCTCAGGCTGGCCAGGGGGATGCATTTTGAAGGCCTGCTCTGGCTTGGTTTTATACCGACGACTTCCTCAAGGGCTAAGCAATTTGATTGGAATGGGGTCCATGAAAAGTGTCTGTCTCTTCTACGGCACACCTTTGATGTTGGTAAGGGACTGGAATTGTTTTCCAACACTTTCCAAACGGAAAGCTAGAGGGTTTCATTTAAGGAAGCAGGAAGTGTCGACAAATAGTGAAAAAGCAATCAAATAGTCAGTAGTTAAAAAAGGAAAGAAGGAACAGAAAAATGTGAAGTTCTCACGTCGATGGCCAGCGCGCCGCACCAGCTGTTTCCGTGAAACACAGGCTGCACCTAGTGGCGACAACCCATACATCGCTGCCCAGTGTCACGCTCGCTTGATCCGCCTGCTTCACGGTGTGGGTGTGCGGGCCCGGCAGAGTGTCTAGTGTTCACCGTAGGGCAACCCCGGCACAGCGTACCAGGAAGGGAAATATATGCTCACTGCGCATGCATATTATGTCCATTGCCTCGTTCAAACAGCATTTGACTTTAACAGGTAACTCGTCAGTTCTAAACACAAACACCCGCCTTAGAACTTGCCTTAACCAATGAGCCAATATCAGACACACATTTTACACAAGCTGAATTTCACTGTGCAGACATTTAGAAACACATGAACGAATTTTCCTCTCCGTAAAGGTCGCAGAATACTGCCCTCATTGGCCGTCGCCCAGAAGCCACCCCAGATGCTACGGCGTGTGATACCCCGAATAGCCCAGCTCCATGGCTTACATCAGACGACGCTGGAATGAAACGATCTTTTCCATTGCACATGCGCACCACAAAGCTGTAGCAACTGGGACATCTGATTCGAAGTTTCCGTAACGCTCCCGCGGCCGGCCTCGGCTTCCCGTCCGGCAGCCGGCCCCGCCATCTTGCGACAAGTTTCCGAATCAGCTGGTCATTGGCGCCGTGTGCGGCCGAGGCCCGTGCCATACAGGAGGAACGCAACCGTCTTCCATTCCTATCACCCGCACCATGTCAACCGCGGAGAACTACGCGAACGCCGCACCGCGGCGCGTGAAAATGTTTAAGCAAGCAGCACGCAATATAAAAAGAATTAAATATCGCGAAAGGAACACAAACAGCTTGGTGGTCTGCTAGAAGACCCAAACATGATCGAAAACAATGATATGATGGCGTAATCATTAGGTCTATGGATAATCGGTATGAATGGAGAGAAGAGTCATTGAGACATTCATTTCCCTCCGAAAAACTTCGAATTTGTGCCGAAACAGTAAAGCCAGCAGAAACGGGAAGCGAACGCGAGAGAGAGAGAGAGAGAGAGAGAGAGAGAGGAGAGAGAAGTGAGAGAGAGAGGAGAGGAGAGAGAGAAGAGGGGCGAGAGGAGAGGAGAGAGAGAGAAGGAGGAGGGAGAGAGAGAGAGAGAGAGAACGGAGACGCGAGAGAGAGCCGCGAGGAGATACGAGGAATGTAATGAGATGAGAGGGGGTGCGATAGAGAGAGATGAGGACGACTGGAGCTAGAACGTCTTGAGCTGGAGAGCCCGGAGAGAGAGGAGAGAGAGACCGAGGGAGAGAGAGTCGGAGTGAGAGAGAAGAGAGAGAGATGAGAGAGAGAGAGAGAGACCTGATGTCTATCTGATTGGAACGTCCAAAATGCGACCAGTTACGTATGATACTTATATGAGCTTTCAGCATTTCTATCACTCCCAGCGAACGCGGGCAGACCCCAGAACGGACTGCGAAGTCAACTCCCTGTCCCATGAGATGATGATTATGAGATATCCCATGAGACCCCATGGCTTCCACGATCTGATTTAGAAACTTTGTCGCGGACGACCCCGAACGAGAGATCCCTCCACAGATCTTACCGATGGTCCTTCCAGGAGATTGGATCATTTCCACTAAGTTTTGCAGGGATCTTTGAAACCAGCAATTGTTTGTTTTCTAAAACCACGGGTTTAGGATCTTTTGGGAGTCTCGACTACTCTCTGAGTCTCGACTACACCTTGAAACCACGCTACCGTCTCTTTCACCCCGTTCAATTTCAAATTGTCACCTGGTGCCCGACGTCTTGCTAGAATGCCACCTGCGAAACTGAGAATGCCTCCGCAGCACTCGCACACCAGTTCGTAGGCGGCCGAGTGCCAATCACACATGATCAACCATGCTCTCCTCCGGAAAATGAAACGCTACTGGAGTTTAAAATATGTATATTATTCATCGATTCTTGCCACAAAGTAAGCGGAGCCTGCACGGGGGAGCGGAGGGGGTGGGGAGGAGGAGGGAGGTGGGGGAGGTGGGGAGGGGGGGGGGGAGCAACTAGAGCGCGCCGCAGCAGAGCAAGCGACCTACGTCTTCACCTACTGCAGGGTTGTCTCCAAGTGTCCGAGCAGCGATCTCCCGCCCGCGTCTCGCGCACGACAGCACACCGGGAGCCGTCGGGACAGCACAGCCCCGCCGTCCGCGAGGGGGCCTGCGGCGCGCGCAGCCTCCGGAGCTGCCGGCAGGCGCCCAGCCGCGCGCGAACACACGCAAACACATCCGACCACAAGTCCGTCGCCGGCCGGCGGCCGACGCCGCCCAGTGACGTCACTGGGACACGGCGGTGACGTCAGCGGTTTCGCAGCGCCGTCAGCGGGACGGACGCGACTGCGGGCGGTGACCTGGGGTGGCGCGCTGACGCGTCAGGTACCTCCGTCCGCGGGCAGCGCTGCAAGGCAACAGGCACTGATGAGAGGACGACGGCGTGGTTTCAATCGCGGCCGGTGAGCGGTGCACTGTGTGCTGTGGCGGTCGGTCTTGCCGGATCCGCTCGACCGCGAGTTAATCTATTGACGCGGGGCTTGTAACGCCATACAGGCTTTGTAGACCGTGAAACGAATATTCGCTGCAAAGCAAAAATAGACCGCCAGCTGTGTTTCAAGCAGTGCAACGTCGCACAGACGAGACTGGGACACTCGACCCAGAGCTCTGCCGCTCCCGACATATCCGTCATAGGCCACATGCACATCTGCAAGCATAACTGGACATTGCAAACCCGAGGCGACAGAGAATGAGGCAACGGAGCACTGATAATGGCCGCGTGGGACCTTGTCAACGTGGAATAACACAACGCCGCCCTTGTGGGGCCTACAGGAGGTGACACACTACTGACACTGATCATGTGGGACCTACACGAGGTGACACACCACTGAAACTGACATGCGGACCTGCATGAGGTGACACACTTCTGATACTGAGCATGTGGGACCTACACGAGGTGACACTACTGAAAATGACCATGTGGAACTACATGAGGTGACACCTTTTGACGCTGATCATGTGGGACCTCATGAGGTGATACACTACCGACACTGACCATGTGGACCTACGCGAGGTGACACACTGCTGACACTGACCGCGTGGAACCCGCGCGAGGTGACACACTGCTGACACTGACCATACGGGAGCTTCACGAGGCGATCTGTTCGGCGGGGGCCGTCTCTTGCTGGGGCCGCATCACGTCCGGAAGCTCAGGCGGCGTCGAGTAGGGCACCACCTCGGGGGCCTCAAACTCGCCTGCGACGTGGGACACGGCGGAGCTTCAGTGCCACTCAAACTCGCCAGCAGCGTCGTGCACGGCGACCGCACGGCGCCAGCCGAAGCGGTCTCGAATGACGGACACAGTCCTGTCTCGAACTCATCCTTGACGTCCGACCAGTGCCGCCGAGCCAACACGAGCGACGTCCAACGAGGTCACACTCAGAGTTACACCCAAGCTCGTGAGGTCACACTCAGGAGTTACATCGTAAGTCACGAGGTGACGCCCAGGAGAGTTACAACGAAGCTCGTGAGGTCGCAACCCAGGGGTTACAACGAAGCTCCCGAGATCACACTCAGGGGTTATAACGGCGCTCGGAAGATCACACTCAGGGGTTATAACGGAGCTCGCGAGGTCACACTCAGAAGAGCTGCACCCAAGTTCGTGAGGTCACACTCACGATAGTTACACCGCTGCCCCCGAAGTCGCCCTCAGGGGGTAACACAGGCCGACACGCTGCACCATTTGCGCATGAGCCGAGCCGACGACGTCCCACAAGGAGAAGCCGCGGCACAACTCGGGGCACCGCGACTGACATTCACCGAAATTAGACACGACACCGACGCTCGGCACAGTTGGGACCGCTGGGACCCGGGACCGGACGGGGTCACGTGTCGAAGCCGGGCACGACTGGGATCGCTGGGACCCGAGGCTGCACGGGGCCACGTGGAGCCGACCCCAGCCGTCAGAGGAGGGCCGCAGCTGCGCACATCACAGGCGGATGGTGCGGCGCGTAGCAAAATCAGACACTGCCACCGAGCCTGAAGCTTGCGTCTGAAGACAACGAAGCGAGCATGTGCAGCGGACCCTGCTGACCGCAGAGCCGGCGTAAGACGCACAGGAGCTGAAGATAAAAGGCGGACTAAGACCTTATTTTGCAGGCGAGGCTGCAGATTGGGGCCAAACCGGAACGGCGTGGCACACTTACCATCCTCTTGCCGGAAGCAAAGGACCAGTGTGGCCGGCTTGTGCGCCTGCGCCGTCGATGACGTCAGGCCGCAGTCCTGCGCGGCGGAGGCGGCGTGTCATTGGCCGGCAGGATAAGAGTGACGCCATCGACATGGCAAACCACACAACGGACTGCATGGGTGGCATCACACTACAGTGACGTTAAAAACACAGGAACGCCGTTGGACGACACAGGAATCGAGGCAGTTTTCTCACGCGCGCGTTACGTAAAAGTCTGGGAAAACAGCTCACATCTGGAAAATCTTACCCATGACCCGCGGTTGAGTCGGCGCCCTGCGTCATGCAGCAGCTTTGAACGATAATATCCTCGATCATGCGGCGGATCAGGAGTGAGAACTGGGGCAAGTTCCCAGCAAGCGAATGAAACAGCCGTCAATACGCCACGCCCCCACCGGGCGATCGCCGCCCGCGAGCACTTCAGACGTCCAAAGAGTTTCCAGTACAGCCCGCCAACGCCACGCGAACGGACGCGGACCTGATGACCTGACGCGGCACTAGGGGCCGGAACCAAGCCTCGTCTTCCGCTGCGAGAGGACTGGACATGGCGGAAGGGGGGGGGGGGGGGAGGGGCAAAGTGCAGCAGAACCGGGAGGGAGGCCCCCATAGGTCTGGCTGTCCCCCAGCAATCAGTGTTGGCTTTGGCCCGCCACCGGCGCGCGGCCAGAAAAGACCACGCCCGGCCCACCAAGGGGGCCCATGGCACGTGCCGACCCGCCTCGAGGGAACATGTGTCTCAACGTCGGCTTCCTTCATGCCGTCACGGATGCCCCCCCCCCCCTCACCACCACCACCCAACCACCCAACCACCCAACCACCCACCCACCACCCCACCCGACGATGGCGACGCAGCTGGCTCAGCGAACAGGGCTGGACTGGAGCACACACGCGAAGCGCGTGCGTCGAGCAGGAAAGACCCAAGAGGGGGGACGGGGGACGGGGAGGCTTTCATGGAGCGCTACAGAGCCCCCCCCCCGCGACCAGAAGGGCGCGGCGAGACTTTGACCGGGCCAGAATACCTGAAGCGTCTTAGTGTCCTCCATCTCGGTCTCGTCCTTGAGCAGCTTCTGGTTCTCGGGCGCCACCTTCAGGATGCCCTCCAGGATTCGCTTCAGCTCCGCCACGGACGTGTTCTCCTTGGCGTCGGTGAAGATGGTGGTCTTCTGGCGCCGGATCATCATGTAAATGTCCATGGCTGGGCTGTTGCGGATAGGGTGCGCGGAGTCAGGCAGGGTCGTGACATGTCATGTCACTGGGGGTCAACGACGCACTCAGCTGCTGAGGCTATATGGCGTCGCCTGCCTCTCACTCTGGCAGGAGGGGCGGGCACCGCGGGGAATCGAGCCCGGTACCTCTGGTTTCCCAGACATGCAGTGGCTATCGCAGACGCGTTAACCACTACATTACTGGCACCCCAGGTAGGGTCGTGCCTGATAGCTTCTTTCACATGGTCAACTGGATTACAAAAGTAGCAAGATACAAGAAGGATCAAAAGTGCCAAAATACAAGAAAAACCTCTACCAGTAACCTGGCGGGTTGTCGGTGATGGTTTCGACGCCAATTTTTCGGACAATATTTGAACTCAATGGCGTGTAGAATGGACGCAAATGCAAATGACTAAAAGCACATACGGATTGCGGTTCTGATGGTGGTAAATTAATCATCCCACTGTGCTGCTGTTTGCAACTGGTGTCCGCATTCGGACGAGTTTCTAATCTCAGCTTGAGTGGGAATAACGCTGGGAATTGAATTCATGACTGACAGAAGAACAAGAGCCTGCGGTCTCATAATGCATTATAGATGATGCACTAGCTGGGGCGCCCAGCGAAGTCCAGATAATGAATTCATTCATGCTAAAGCGGTGCGACCTGCAGTGTTCCATCTGACTCCATACTGCAAATAATCGGACTCCCGCTGTAGGCATTCGTCTTTGTCCTTGCATTTACCGTTGGACATGTTCCAATGACAGCGCCAGCTGATCTGGGTGCGACGCATTTAAGCATGAAATTCGCCGACTACGACCCTCTAAACAATGCCACAGTTCCAGCTTTCAACTTCACAGAAGCAAAGGGCAGCGAGTACAATACAAACCGCAGAAGTCACACATCAGTTCGGATCGCTCGGTAGCCGTCAATGCCGCAGAGCGGCTCACAACGTCCCACTGCGTCGTTGCTTGCACACGTGACTGGACCAGTGGGCGCCCTGCATGACACATGCCCCAGGTGCTACACCCCCCCCCCCCCCCCCCCCCCCCCCCCACTGCAGTCTACTATCCGGCTTGAGCTCTCACCAGCGAACACCCGGGTGTAGGGAAGTCACGCGCGACGCAAATGTTGGCAAGTGGAAGCTGGCGCCTGGAAATGACCTCCAGCAATGCTATCAACAATTTGTGTTTGTTGTGTTAAAACATGTATGAGTTCTGATGCAAAAATCACCCTTACAGGAGATTCTGATTAAATAGTGTTATCAAACAAGCATTGATACAGCTTTCCAGACAATTCAATGTTTAAAGGTGTTACTTATGACCATGGGTGACAATGCTTGCTGGAAAATGTTATGTATGTCAATGCATATGATGTATATGTATATGTAATACATCTGTATGTTATGCATGTCAATACCTGCTTGCCAAGATCACTAATACAGTGCCTCTTGGCATATTGAATATTTTCTCATACAAGCTTGCTCCCAAACGACAGGAAATGAAGCTGTTTTACTCACTATGGAAGGCATATTTACACATATTATGATAGCATATTAAATGAAAAATAAGGAAGGACAACTGTGCATAATGAGACTTCCTAGAGAAACCAAGACCAGATGCTGTTTTGTATTCAAAAGTGAAGCATCATTTTCGACCTAACACCACATTGAAGCATAAAATGGCACACAATTGTGTTGCTTGCCTGACATCAAAAGCAAATTGACATGTGACATGACATGACAAATGAAACTGAAAGCCATTCATCATAAAACAATGCATTTTTGGCAGGAATGGGACACCAGGAAATTACATGATTCACCAGCCAATAATACTGAAATATCAGCCAATTAGCCTAAAATGCAATGACCTCATGGACATCTAATCAAAGTGTGTGGAAGCTTTCCTTTGCATAGTATGAACACAGCAAATGTCAAACTGCACAGACTCCCTACAATGTCAATGACAGATTAAGCAGTCCCATTTCTTAGGCTGGCAAAAGGTTAAATCCCACCATCATTTCAACTCAAGTCAGGGTACCAATAGTGTAATAGTTAACCTGCACAGGTACAAGGTTTGACTACCAACAGTACCCACACTCCCTGCCAGGGTAAGAGGCAAGCAATGCCATGTAGCCTCAGCAACTGAGTTTGTTGTAAATCCCCAATAGCGCAGGCACTCAACTTACATCAATCAAAATTGCACTACATCACATGCATAAAGGCATTAATACCAGTATAAATTCCACTGACTGCATCATCCTTGGACAATTGATTTGTATCAGCAATGGGTTATCAGTAATTAGTAATCTTGACCCTCACTTGGCATGGTTGCATCTTAATGATCAGCATGCTGTTCACAAAAGGGATGTCTCAAATTATTTTGGAGGTAAGGTGGCGCAGTCCTACTCTGGATGACCAATGTTGGTGTTAATGTTGGAAAGTGGGTACTCCTGCATATATAGTATATTGTTATATGGCTTCATAATTGCAATTAATGGGAAACCAAACATTGCCCACCAACATCAGATCAAAATGTGGTTTCTGTTTGCAGCCAACAGTAACCTGTATTGGGAGCCAAACATCCATTGTAGCCAGCTAACCCTAAAACCCCAATAATCATCATCGGCAACCTACATTTTGACAATCTTGGGATGTTATATGAAACACCAACTGACAGCAAGCAGCCAAAACACCAATATACATCAGCACCCATAGCCAACAGGGAAAACCTGCATCTTGAAAGTCATACCCTTCAGAAATGCAAATGTCATATTTTTGTTCCAACTAAAACTTACTTTTCTGATGCTGTAAAATTTGGTGTGCACTTGTTAGCCTTCAAAACCAGATGCTATGACATCACCACCAGTGTCCTCAAACACCAATCTCTGTTGCTAGGGGTGCACATCAAGGATATCACTCAAAGGTTGCATGATACATCTTTAGACATATCTTGTAACTTTTCTGAAGACATGGTATAACTGCACATTGTGAGCCTGTACAAGCTGTTCCCAACACTGCAACTGTGCCTTTTATTTCAAGCTTGTTCACAGGAATTACCAAGGATATATCAGCTCTTTATAACTGCCTTACTGCAGTCAGACTTTTCAGAACCATAGTGACTACACATCACCTCTTTTTTGCATCAAAGATTTCATGAACAACTCAGGTGAGGTGGGAAGTGTGAGGATGGTCAGGAAGATATGATTTCACATATTTTTTGTTGAAAGAGTAAAAACAGGGAAATAACCAAATCATGAACTTGGCATCTGCCATTCTGGCATAACACCTCATATCTTTTGCCTATTGGTTGCAGAAGTATTACACAAAATGCAGAATCAAATGTGAGTGAAGCAGTCACCATAGCAAAATATAACTATTGTGCATGCATGGAAACAGAGATGTAAATTTAATACAAGAAGAAACACTATAGGACAAAATGAGCTTAACATACAGGAGATACTTATGGCATAAGAAAATGAGGTTAATATACAACAAAGTGAAATGCATTACATTAGATTACCAGCATTCACTGCATTTCAACCTAATTAAGATGAAAGGCACGCAGTAAGCTACAAGACAACAGACCATAGAAGCCTGTAGTTACACACATAGGGTACCTAACGCAATTACTGGTCCGCAGGGTAACGCCAAGCATGCAAGAACGCTGAAAGCGCCATAATGACTAGTCATGTTTTTGTGACTGGAGCTGAAATACACTTCCCCGCACAAATCATTACAAATAAACTTACGTTTATTCTAAGTAAACTAAACGATAATAATTCCCTGAGAAACAACAGTATTAAGTTCCTTTTCTCAGCCGCCCGTCCACCAACCAACCACCAACTTCGAACAACTCATGCCAGTGATGACAATCAAGACGCACGAGTGGATGCAAGGAATGTTGTAAACGAGGCTGAAACAAGAACACCTGCTGAGGTATCACGATAATGACGTCAATGCGACACTAAGAGTCCAAAACGTTTAAAGCGTCCGTAAAATAGTTTTTGACCGTCGTGTCTGGTTTTCCTTCAGCTTTTAGGGCAGACATGTAATATTTTAGAAAAGACAACGAAGCGAACTGTCTCATGTCCAGTCTACAAAAAATACATTCACTGCGTCGGACGCCCGCAAGGCATCGGTGCACTGAGGAGGAACTAAACGGCCAACCAAATGTTTTGAAATGAAGGCGCATGAAAAACATGACGCATTGTGATCCATCGACCCGCTTTCAAAATTCTCATCAGCCTATATCCATGCCGTATTTTAACATCTACACTGTGGCTTTGACTTGCATGACTTTGTGGCCGCAAACCGTGAGGCAGAATCCTGTAATTATAGAATATTAGTGACTACTGGCATTCAAGGCCCAGTATAAAAAAGCAATGCGAGCCAGTAACCACACCAATGGCCCGCAAAAAACAGAAGGAGCTAGATCAAGGTGTGGCTTTTCAAAGGGAACAGTGGGAGCCGGGATCCAGGGGTTTGTTTTGTCGAAAGAACCAGAGAGAACCAAAATCTAGAATCTTGGTTTGCCGAAACATGCAGCAAAAACCAGGATCCATGGTTTTGTTTTGTTTTGTCGAAAGAACCACTAGGAACCAGGATCCAGTGTCCGTTTTGTCGAAAGAACAAATTAGAACCAAGATCCCGGATCTTGGTTTGTCGAAATGTTCAGCAGAAACCAGGATTCCTGGTTTTATTTTATCAGAAGAACCAGTGGGAGTCAGGATTCAGGGTTCGTTTTGCCAAAGGAGCTGGCCGGAACCAAGAATTAAAGCTGAGAACTAGGCACATTTCTACCCTGAGATCAACGTCATCTTTTGCTGTTGCTAATATCTCTACCTGCAGAGTGCAGAATGGCCTCAGTAGCCGACGCGCTCCATAATGATGAGAGTTCCAATCATTTTGATAATAATGATATTTATTATATATATATATATATATATATATATATATATATATATATATATATATATATATATATATATATAATCATAATCATAATGATAATAATCTCTACAGTAATACGATTTCTAGCCAGCATAATATTTATGTTTCCAGCTTGTTCTTTTTTGCACCGCTCTCCATTACCGCGTATCAGGCTAACATGTACTGACCTGGTAGTGCGTACGCTCTCCGTAAACGCGCGCCTCAAAGGTCTTCTTTAACCGGTCAACAACGCTACGTTTCGTGTTGCCGCCATACAATGATCCTAAAACCCCAGGCGCAGGTTGCAGGAGATTAACCACGTTTTTGGCGATGTTTTTCCCTCCAGCCGACTGACACGTGATTGTTTCGCCTGCCTACGACTTCATCAGAAGCCGGATGTATCGTGTTAAACAAGGATGCACTCCTTAGTTTATGTGTGCGTGCCATGTGTGTGTACCATGTGTGTACGCCCCTGCTTTTCAAAGTTGAGAACCTGTTGCATTAGGGCCGGGGCCCAATCGGTGTTCAGGGACTAGGATCTCACGCAAAATACGGAATATTTTAGCATGACTACTTTCCCACGACTGGGGACCAGAGAATGCACCCGCCGTCCTTCGTATGTGTGGTATAAGGTCTGTCTCTTTAGTGGTCATGGTTGTGTGTGCCGAATTATAATGCGGGATCATGGTGTCTATCTGTTTTTAGCACAGTGTGGTGGTATACATGTGTTTGTGTCACTTAAAAGGTATCGAAGAATTAACCGACATGTTTTGTGTGCTCCGGAGTGAAAAAACTTTGACGTGGTGTTGCGAGAATATTGATTTTCACCAAGAAAACTGACCATAAGCACAGTTTCGAAACGTTGTTTTTCTTCAATTTAACCATTCTTGGCTTGATGACGTAATTTAACAAGTATCTCTTCGCATCCTGAGTTATTGTGTTTATTACTGTGTGATTTTAATTATTGTGTTAAGCAATTATTTTTACGAACTCCCAACCCATTATGCCAAAGCATCACGAGTGCGACCTGCGTGTCTAGGAAACCGGAGGTGTGTGAGTCGATTGCTGGCAATGCCCGCCCTTCCTGCCAAAATGAGGGACAGGTGGTGCTACACAGCCACAGCAGCTGCATACACCGTAGCTCCGATGACACACACACACACGTTCCGGTGTGTTAAAAGTCTGTTAGTGTAAGCCTTTGAACTCCAACATGTAGTGCCTTAAAGTCTAAACTGCGCTTCCCTCCCCACCCAGGAGAAAGGAAGTCACTCCTATTGTACGTCTACAATAACAGCTGCCTATTCGCAAACTCGGCCACAAAAAACGATTGAAAAAATAACATGACGCCACGCTGCCAAATGAACTTTAGATAAGAAACTTGAGAAGGAAACCTACCTCAAGGCACTGCATGAAGGAGAACTGGTCCTCTCCTCGCATTTCTTCGGTGCCCAAACTCCCAACCAGAATTTTATGCTGTTTATATTGGATGCAAATCAGTTACACCAGTCTTCAGGAAGTTGTTTAACATTTGTTATGGGGAAAATAAGCTGAAATTAGAGGTGTGGTCTTGCAGCGGCTGGAAACTGATACAACTCAGCAATTTTACCTTTCACCTTATTGACTGAAGTAAAACCAAACTTAAAGTACTGATATTGAGCTTCTGGGTACGAATCTCGGAAAGCGGTTTTCGCAACGTGATCCAGACACTACCGATCTTTTACATTTTATTTTTACCTTGCAGATGGCAAACTGCCGTTAGAATGTGATTCGGCACGATAGAAATTACGCAGTTTAGGTTGCTGGCTTGGCCCCAACTCAAATGTAGGGCACACTGTTCTGTCTCCATGGATGACACTTTTCGAATTGTGATGCTTATGTTGTGCATTGTCCTAAACAGTCAGGAATCCTACTCCCCCCCCCCCCCCCGAAAGAGCACATCAAACTGAAATCAATGTATGCGTGTTAACGCCGGTCAGCACGGGCGGTCTTCTGCGGACTAGATCCCTGACTGCGGGGGAGGCGGGGGAGGGGGGGGGGGGGAGGATGGCCGCGAGCTGTCATCTTAAAAACAACTGAGTCTCTAATGACGGTGGATGCATCCGATATCCGGTGTCCGATATCGACTCAGGTCAGTCTGCCACAGAAACACTAAGACGGCGACTGGGACGCTTCCGCCAGCCCTCCCTTCCCCGGCCATACGAGAGGTATCGGAAGAGGGGGAGAGGGGGGGGGGGGGTATTGGCGCCAAGTCGCCGCCGCCGGCCCCTCCCCGGAGGATAATTACAGGGAGCGGCAACCGCCCCTGGTGGCCGGCACGGGCGTCCCGGCTGGGACGGTGTCGCCCCCGCTACGCCCGACGCCGCCAGGGGTGCTTAAGCCACTAACCAGTGTATGCGTGTGTGGGGAGGCAAGAATCGTTTTTGATATCTTCTGCTAGCTGTAAAGCGTCATAGGCGTAGTCAGCATCACATAAATACGACGCGCGTGCACTGCTGCTTTATAGGACTCCGACCATTCGCAACAGGCACCATCTGCGGACTAATGCTCCGTTTTCCTCGACTGCAGCGGTAATCCCGCCTGTGCGGCGATCTTGGCTCGCCCCTGTTCGCCGCTATCTCCGGCATCACCCGAAAGCGTGGGTGGCGCCGGACGGGCGCCTCTGAGGCGGCAGGACTCCCCGGATGGAGGGAGACACGAGGCGTCAGGGCGTCGTGGGAAGCAGTGGGACGGCGCTGTGCAGCATTACCCTCAGCGTGCTTTAAACGTTTAGTTGCTTGAATTCCTTACTCAAGTGACACCACATTGTTGCCGTTGCTAGCCGGGCTTTTTCAATTTGTTGTGCATGAATCACACTGCTTTGGCATCACCCTTCCCGCTGTTGCTACCGGACTTTAAATATATTTGTCCGGCCGATCCCCCTACTTGCAGGAGGCTAGCATCAGAGCCCCGCTCACAGAAGCTTCCGCGAAGTTGCCGGGGAAGCTTTGCTTCCAGAAACGTAGCCTTTTGCAGTGCACTTAGCAAGTCTTTTAGTGTCGGGACAAACCCCGCCGCTTGAGTGGTCCGCAGCGGGCGAGCGCGGCATGTGTTGGGTGTGCTTGGCCAGACGGTTTGCTAATCCACTGTTGGTGATACACCCCTGGCCCATTTGCCGTCATTTGCTCATGCACATCGTATCTTAGTTGTCATCCGGGGATATCGGCTATCCGACATTTCCATTTTGGTGTGAAAAAGGCGTGATAACATGAGCACGTCAAGTGTAGCCGACAGGCACACATCACAGAAAAGAGATTTTACACTTACACTTTGCATGAACAACATTTCTTGCGTCACGTTTAGTTACATGTTAGTTTTCAGGGGATCCCCAAATGTGTCTTACCATTTGGCAGAAGTGAAGTTGAGGATGCTGCTGCTGTTATAGTCCATGCGATTACCACTGTTTGCACTATTGCGTTTTAAGCAGGCGGTGGTGATAATCATTCAATATGGGCTAGATTCTTTACCCAGACTTCTCCAACATAATTATCTATAGGTGGTAGCCAGGCCTACTTTGACCGCTACAAGACGTACAGTTATTAGAGGCAGATTTCAACGGTTTGCGCCCTACTGCCGTGTTCACTTCTTTGCGCCTTCTAGACATCTAAAGCGAGCGTTCACGTTTTGAATAAGGTTTGAGGCTAATCATTGAAATCATTCGGTGCAGTTTATTCACCACCAACCCTTCTCCTCAATACCAAACTCTCAGTTTTCTAAGCTACATGCCTGCAAAAATGGTGCAGACTATATTCATTCAAATATCTCAGATTATCCGGCATCTGTGATGATGATGTGAGAATGTATCAACCGAATCAAGCGTAGCAAATTACTCACACTTCCGGCGAACACTTCCGTGTTCGAAGGCGACAGCGAACGGACAGCCGGCGTGTTT